CTAATGGCTGTAGCTAATGATTCCAGAACTATATTGAATAGGAGTGGTGATAGAGGACATCCTTGTCTTGTACCAGATTTAAGAGTAAAAGATTTCAGTTTTTCCCCATTTAGAATTATGTTAGCCATTGGGTTTTTATAAATGGCTTTTATGAAGTAGAGGCCATCTCTTCCAATTTTCTGTAGGATTTTGAACATGAATGAGTGTTGAACTTTGTCAAAAGACTTTTCTGCATCAATTGAGATGATCATGTGGTTTTTATTTTTCGCTCTATTGATATAGTGTATTACACTTATAGATTTTCGAATATTGAACCATCCTTGCATCCCTGGGGTGAACCAGCCCTCACTCTTGTATTATATATTTTATGTGTTTTGACTTTTGACAAATATATAATGTCATATACATAATGTTGAAATATTATACAGACCAGCTTGATGTTGTAAAAATCCTTGGCTCTCTGCCTATTTATCTCTTCCTCCAATCTGATCAGCCTCTAATTTTTAGTTGTTTCCATGTTTTTGTCTTTTCCAAAATGTCATGTATTTGGATTTATATGTCACTTTTCACATTGGCTTTTTTCACTTGGTAAAATGATTCTAAGGTCCTCAGTGTCTTTTTATGGTTTTGTAGCTCATTTCAGTGCCCCAAAATAGTCCACTTTCTAAAGGTGCCACGGTTTGTTTTCCCATTCACCTATTGAAGGACACTCTAGTTGCTTCCTAGGCTGGGTAACTATGAAGAAAGCTGCCATAACAATCATGCACAGGTATAATTTTTCAGCCCTTGAGAGTAAATACCAAGGACAGCAATTGCTAGGTCACATGGTGAGCATACATTTTGTTTCATAGGAAACTGCTGAACTATCTCCCAAAGGGCTATACTGCTTTGCATCCCCACAAACAACGAATGAAAGCTCCTATTGATCCATATCTGCACCAGCAGTTGGGTGGTGTCGGTGTTTTGCATTTAGACTATTCTTTTTTTTTTTTTTTTTTTTTTGCATTTAGACTATTCTAATAGTTGATTAATGTTTGTATTTTAAATGGAGACATTTCCTCCAAATTAGACGGACCCCCTGCAAAAGAAAAAATCATCATTTTTAAATACTCAATGAACAGGCATGCAAATTAAAGTATAATTAAATAGTGCCAAAAGTTTTAAGCAGTATGCAAAGGAACAGAAATAGATTGTGAATCATCTCTACCAGAGAATTGCCCTTTAGGATGGACCAACCTTCTGCACTGTCTCCCTTATTTAGTAACACTGGTGTGAAGACCATGTGTTATAGAGACCTCAAGCCTGGGAGTGCAGGGCCTCCTTGGAGCTAGAGTAATGAATGCAAAACTAATGCCCACAGTTGGTTCCAACAGCTTGCTGCAGTGGCAACAACCAAGCAAACAGAGAAGCAATCCTCAGTCATGAGTGGCAGAATTCTAACTACTGGATAATCACACACCACCAGTCTTACCACCAAAAAGTGGGCCATGCCACCTTGCTCCTCTAAACCTAGGGGAAAACAGCTAAGTCTGTCTCACTGACTGCTTTTTTTGACAAGGACCTAGCTGTGCCTGTTTGCAGTGAGAGGCCTTGCTGTTCGTTTTTGTGTCAGAGCACAGCCAGGCTCTCTCAGAACCACAGAGCAGTGCACTTGCCTAACCCCAGTGCACTGAGTCAGCCACCTAGACCAGGCATGGTGGCACCCACCTATAATCCCGGCACTGGGGAGGCTGAAAACAGGGGATCCCTATAAGTTCAAGTGGAGTCCGAGCTGCATAATGAGGCCCTATACCAAATACATAAATTTAAAAAAAAGAAGAGAATGTTGTTTTTTTTAACAAGAAGTTATTTTCCTTTGGTTGATGCTTTTTTGTTTTTTTGGTGCAGTACTGGGGATTGAAGTCAGGACCTTGCGCTTGCCAGGCAAGTGCTTATTCTACTGAGCTATCTCCCCAGCCTCTTTGGTTGATGCTTTTGCTACAATAGATGTAAAAGAAAAGTTGTGTGTACAGTCTCTTATTTGGTGTTTTTAAATCCTTTTTTCTAGGATAGAATGGTGCTGCTGATTGTGGGGAACCTGGTAAACTGGTCCTTGTAAGTAGTCTTAGGAAAATATGTTTTTGTCTTTACTAATGTCTGCAACACTCTGCTTTGGCTTTCTGTGACTATCATTTTTACACAGACATCTGAAATTAAAGAGAGGGTAAGTCTGTGCTTCTTCTAGAGACTTGATAAAAAGGTCTTTTTCCTCTGCATAATCTGTATGAGAGCAAGAATCTGGGCAAAGTAGAAGGACAACTGAGCCTCTGTTGATCTGGCTTTGGTTAACTGGGCATGTAACTTGTCTCGGGCTTAAGCAATAAGCAACAAAATGCTTCAAAGGAAAATAAAGCCAATGAAGAAGGCAAAGTCTTCTGGCCTTTGGGCATTCAACAGTGCAGGGAAGGTTGATTTTCATTTTTTCCTGAGCTGGATGCTAAGCTTAAAAAAATGAGCAATTTATAAAAACATGACCACTGTTGGCTATGGAAGATGTTGACTGTGTTTAAGAGACTGCCATACATACTACAGGATGGCCTAAGGATTTGAAATCCATAAACTAAGAGAAACTTTGTATATACTGCCTGAACAGGTGTCCTTACTGATATTTATTGAACAGTTGATTTTCCCAACCCACCTCCAGCTTATGGAAATGCTGATATAAGTGCAAAAGAGGGAGAGAGGACATTTTAATTGTTCCACGTGAACACCGGAGCTAAGCTGGGGGTGCATTAATGACTTCTGCATTATCAGGAATGCTTTGCACTGTATTTCTCAAAGTGAAGACAGACTTGAAAACAGTGCCCTGTCGTTGACACGTGCAGAAATTAGTACAGTTTCCCCCTGTGCTGCTGCATGTATCATAAAAGTCCCGAGGGCTGGCTGTGTTGTGACATCATCACCATTTTGGGATGATCCATCATGAAGGAGCAGGGAACTTCCTTTCAGGGCCCCAAATTCACCCTGGGAACAAGGTGCCACATCTTCTGACCCTTTAGTGACATGGCCAGGTGGCTGAGGCCTACTGAAATCACTGCCTTGTGGTCCAAACTTGTGCTCTTACTAGAGTGAAAGTTCCTTGGTTTTGTTGTAATTTTTAAAAATTATACTCCACAGTGACATGAACAGTTGCAGGGAGACCGAGCAGCATCTTTTCTCCAGACACTCTAACTTTGATGTTCGAGGGTGTGTGCTAAGTTAATCTGCACATTTTACTCACCATCATTACTTGTTCTACATATCTACATATAGCATACAGCTAAAGGGTACCAGCCCACAACCTCTACTGCTTGACTTCAGGTCAGTAGAGTTCCTGTATTTGCACGGGTACTGTTCTGTGTGTTGCCCTACACTGAAGGCTCAAATTTTCTTTTACTAAAAAGAGGTTTATGTGTAAATATGTTTTATGCCTTTTTATTAAAAGTCTTGTATTCGGTGACTTGTCATGGCATTTTGCTCTATGTATAGTGCAAATTATGCATTATAAACTTAATTTAAGGAAAATTACTTTGTATAATAATTATTGTAATTAGATGTAGCATTTATTAAATTGTTATATTTTTTCAAAAAAGAGTGTTTTTCTCTTGCAAAGAAAGTAATAGGAAGCTCTTGTATACCAAGAGTAGCTTCTCCTAAAACCCTGATCCATTGATTGAGCTCCTTTATTCAACAAGATAAACATCTATGTGAATAGGATAGATAGATAGATGATAGATAGATAGATAGATAGATAGATAGATGATAGATATATATATGATAGATAGACAGATGATAGACATATATATGATAAATGCTAGATAGATAGATAGATAGATAGATAGATAGATAGATATGCTAGATAGATAGATAGATAGATAGATAGATAGATAGATGATAGATAGATAGATAGATAAATAGATAGATCCAGTAGGTACAAAGAGCCAACCAGAGCAGGCATTCTTTCCTGTAGAATTTATGTCCTGCTAAATGTTTTTGAGAGAGAGAGAGAGAGAGAGAGAGAGAGAGAGAGAGAGAGAGAGAGAGAGAGAGAGAGAAAGAGAGAGATTCCTATTTCTAAAAAAAAACCCCTTCCTATTTCTGCCTTTCCCTCTAGGTCACTTTTTTTCTACTCCACTGATATCATTTTCTTTCCTCTTTCTCCCTTCATTGATTGTCTCTTAGTCTTTTCCTCTCAGATGGACTCCAGGACAAGAGATGTCTTTTTTGCTAGCTGAAATCAGTTTATACAACTTATTCCACTTCAAATATGGGAGGTATTTTACTGATCTCTCAAAGAATAAGCAAATTTATCTGCTTTTACTTTTGGGTTCTAGCTGATATGGCCCTCGGGGTCAATGACCTTCGATAGAAAGATGATTTCCTGCTCTTAGACTTCATTAACTACTTACCAGTACAATTATTTAACTACAGGAAGACCAAAAGTTACATTTTTTCCATTAATTTTATAAGATAATGTAACAGGACACATAAAAAAGACAATTTCATCAAATTTATTCAGTATGAGAATCAACTGGTTGAAATGACACTTGCCCAAGTGACATGTGGGATAGTCGGTACCTAAATAAACACATTGCCCAAGTGATACTCAGGGTAAACTATTAAGGGCTAAGACAGGAAAAGGAATGATGGAAGAGGCCTTCCTTCAGATCTGCACCATAAGGACTTGAATCTTAATCAGGGAATGTAGCTTTTGGGAGAAACTTCCCATAATGTCACACAGGGCCAACTTAGCATAAGGTATGCACTGTTAAAAGGCTGCCACTCTGCTTGGGGCAAGTCCAGGTGAGACAAGTAGTGGTCTCCTACAGTGCCTTTCTTGGCCACCCTTTTAGGAGCACAGTCTACAGCTCTGGTGACGTTGGGAACAGGGCACTTAATAGACAGCCCATGGCTGTGGCCCCAAGGCTCAGAATCACCTAGCTCATCTCTCCCTTTCACCTAATCAAAACCAAAGCCACACAGGGCCAGGGAGACATCTCAGTAGAATAAGCACCTGTCTGGCAAGCGCAAGGGCCTGAGTTCAAGCCCCAGTACCACCAAAAAAAATACCAAACAAACAAAACCAAAGCCACAGTCTACTCACGAGGTAAGGTGAATGGCCTCTCCAGAGATTCCAGGGCTTCAAGAGTATAGGAGGTGTAGTGATATCCTGATACCGTGATATTGGCAGAGGCAATCACACAAATATGTTTGGATGAGTATTTATTTAAAAATGTTTAAATAATGTGATAAATAAGAGTTATGCAATGTTTTGTTATAAAAAAATAGAAATTTGAAAGAAAATTAAAACTAAACCTTAACCAAAATAAACTTTGGTGTTAACTTATAAATGGACAGCTAACAAAGTTGTTTTTAATGTGTGTCAAACCAATGATCAAAATAATTCTGCTTCTGTTAATATATTCTTTTTTAAAAGAGATTTATTAAGAAACAAATAGCAATGAGACAGTTTCAGAACTGATTACTAACAGTTTCAATAATTAATACATTCCATATTGTTTTAGTAGTTATTCATTGTACAAGATGCAGACATGATATCCTGTCCACAGACACTATTAGAATAAATCTATTCATTGAATTAAGACAATGCAGCTGTAATTATTTAGAGTATACAGATACAAAATGGTCGTTCATTTGTATCCCCCTTTTCTGCTTAGTTTTGTCAGAGAAGGGCATTCCATTGTCATTTAAATATTGTAGGTGTGTGAATTCAGCAAAATATTCTAATATAGATCAGTAGTCCATAATAGTTTCCATAAGACTGGCAATGTCAGAAGTTGTTGACTTGAGCCTTTTATAGCTCAGCATATTAATATGGCTTTACTTTTGTTAATCTATTCTAATAAACTAATTTTAAGTGGAAAAACACATCCAACAGCATTCATTTAATCATTATAGTGTTGTTTATAATCATGAAAACCCTAAAGGGTGCTGGGAAAATGCTATGTTTCCATCAGAGAAGGAAGATGATTACCTACAGTACATCTTCTTATGGGAACATTGCATCATCATTAGACATTAATGTTTTGAAGATGTAATAGGATAAAACTTACTTTATGGTCAGGTGCCAGATATGGACATTTCAGGCAAGTGAGTTCAAGGCCAGCCTGAACTGCATAGTGAGACCCTGTCTCAAAAAGACAAAAAAAAAAAAAA